ACAGCAGGCCCCGCCCCGCTCTGCTCTGATTGGGCCGTGCATCACACAGCAGGCCCCGCCCTGCTCTGCTCTGATTGGCTCAAACTGTGGTTCTGGTTCTGTTGGTTGAAAGCAGCCTCAGCTTTAAACATGTTTTTCCCCTTCTGGTTCTACGGGTGACGTCAATCTGTCGCAGACGGAGAACTTTGGTCCAAGTTTTTTCACGTGGTTGTCCAGTGGACAGCCTTGAGGTGAAATCCATTTGTCCGAGACGAGAATGAGTCGTCTCGGAGGAACGCAAAGCGCTCGTGCCGACCCCTGCGTTTGGATGCAGTTAGAGAGGACATGGAGGGAGTTGGAGAGAGGACACAGAGACGCTGAAGACTCCTGAAGAGCAGAAAGAAGACATTCGTTGGTAGCACGGTGGAGTAGTGGTTAGCACAGTTGCTTGTTTGCATGAAGGTCCTGGATTCGAGCCCCAGGGTATTTACCGGTAGTTTGTATTTGTGCATGGAGGTGATGTTGGGTCTTCTTGTGCAGCTCTGTTGTGATCAAATCATTTTTTTGTGTTTAGATGGATCAGAACCAGGATTCTGCAGCTCTGGGTGTTCACTGGAGGTTCTCAGATGTTCTCCATTAACTGAACCAAATCTACAACTTTTACTGAAGGAAATAAAACTCCATGTTAACGTTTGTTGTTTTAAACCCAGGAAGGAAAGTGTTTTTGGTAAAGGTGGAACCTCCAGCTGTGGACCGGGCTCTCAGAAGAATGAGCTTCTGAAGATTACATCAAATGTTTGTGCAGCATGTTCCTCTGACCTTTGACCCCTGGATCTTTTGTTTGTCCTGCAGGAACGAAGCGTTCTGCTGAGGAGGTGGTTCGATCTGCTGATGCTTCACAAAGACGATCTCGCCAAACTCATCACCTTTGAATGTGTGAGGACGATGGTTTGATGCTGCAGCAGCTTCTGCTGGTGTTTGTTCCAGGTTTCCCGTCTGTCACAGCAGATGTTGTGGCTTGGAACCAGAACTTGGAGCAGTCTGAAGATGGTTGTTTTTCTTCTCATCAGACTGTCAGTCAGCTTAAAGTAGAACAAACAGATATAGCTCATTGTAAATTTAGAAAACACATCATAAACACACAAATCCTTCATAAATATATAAATCCAACATAAATACATAAATCCTTTAATAAATACAGAAATCCTTTCATAAATACATTAAATCCTTTAATAAATACAGAAATCCTTTAATAAATACATAAATCCGTCATAAATACATAAATCCTTCATAAATACATAAATCATTTAATAAATACATAAATCATTTAATAAATACATAAATCCTTCATAAATACATACATCCTTAATAAATACATAAATCCTTTCATAAGTACTTAAATCCTTTATAAATACATAAATCCTTTAATAAATACATAATCATTTAATAAATACATAAATCAATTAATAAATACATAAAATCCATTATAACTACAGTTCACCCTGTATATTTGGAGCATTTTTTCCCCATTCTTTTTGTTTCTATTGACTCTAGTGTTAACTCTCTGGTTTGATAGTCATGTAAATTTGATATTTGTGGTAGCATTTGTAACTTTATATATTTATTTTTATTGTTTAGGTTTGTGTTTGTTTAATTACTATTACTATTCTGTTACATATGGGCGGACGGGAGCCCAGATGGTTGGATTGGTAAGCACTAACGTGTGGATTTTCAGTTGACAGAGTTTTGTGCTCTCTCTGTGTTCCTGAAGGAGAGAGGGTGGGTTCATCTTGGACCAGTCTTTTTTTGTTTATGTTGCCAGGTGTTGGCTTGTGATGTTCTGTATGTAATTTATTTTTTGCTTGTTCTGTTATGACTGACGTTGAGAATGTTGCCCACTCTGGTGCTGCCCAGTTAAATGTGCAAGCTGGAATGTAAAGTCTCTTAATGGTCCAGTAAAATTCTGAAAGATGATGTCACACCTGAAACAGCTAAATACTGATATTACCTTTTTACAGGAGAGTCACGTGCGCTCTGCAGATCGTGGAAAATGTGTTAAAAAAGGGTCTGGTCAGGTGTTTCAGTCTAATTTCCAAGTCAAGAGCGGTCACTGTTCTAGTTGGTAAACAGGTGCGGTGTGCAGCCTCGAGTGTGCATGCTGGTATTGCAGGGCGGTGTGTTGTAGTGGTGGGAATTGTACACGCTGCCAGTGATCTTTGTTCCAGTATAAGCTCCTAACTGGGATGACGCTACATTTTCTAGTAACCTCCTCTCAAACATACCGAACACGTCGACACATAATCTTATAATTGATGGTGACACAAATTGTGTGCTCTCATCTCTTGACCATAGTTTGATGGGAAGTTTGCTCAACTAACCAACTTGAATGATATGGTGTGACCCTACTGCAGGATCAAACTCATTCTTTTCTCCAGTCCATAAGACGTATTCTCAAATTTATTACTTTTCTTCTTGATGAACACATTTCGTCTTTGCTGGAGGAATGTGATTATGGAGCTATGGTCATCTCAGACCATGGCCCACTTATGAAATTGTGCATCCCGGTCACAAAACCAGTATTTTGGCCTTGGACATTCAACCCCTTTTCTCAAACTTATTACATGTAAAATCAAACTTTTCTCGAAGTCGGTCGAACTCCAGGAATGCCGCTCTGTACTGTGTGGGAGGCATTAAAGGCCTACGTGACGGGTCAAATAAGTTCCTACTGTGCAAACAAAGAAAGAAGGGGTGCAGCTAAAACAGAGAATGGATGAGATACTAGTTAGACAGAGAATATAGCCACTCCCCCTCACAAGATCTAATGAAAAAAACGTTTTTTACTTCAAAGTGAATTTCATACTTTGTCCTCTCAGCAGCAGAGTATTTAATCTCTAAATCTAGACAGGGTTACCACGAACACGGTGAAAAAGCTGGGCGCCTGCTTGCACGTCAGTTGAGGCAACAGTCAGCCAACCAAACTGTTACAGCACTAAACAGTGAACAGGTAGATGCATGCCGTGATAACGCTGAAATTAATACATGTTTAGTCAATGTTACCAGTCTCTGTACACGACTGAGTCATCAGCTGGCGTATCGGACATGTAGGACTTCTTTTTTTAATCTAGAGTTTCCTTCAGTGGCTCCTGTTCTCGCTGAGGACCTGGAGAAGGAGTTCTCTGTGGCTGAGATGAACTCTGCAATCAACAGTATGCAAAGTGGGAAATTCACTGGACCAGATGGCTTCCAATCTGAGTTTTTAAAGACATTTTCAAATCTACTCTGACCCTTATTAAGGTCTGTGTCTGAGGAGTCACTGGCTGCACAGACTCTACCACTGACCATGCACCAAGCTTTAATCTCGCTCTTACCTGAGAAGGATAAAGACCCTCTAAACTGCAGCTCATATAGACCCTTCTCACTTTTAGATACTGACGTTAAAATTCTTGCACAGGTTCTGGCAAAACAACTGGAGTGGGTGGTCCCCACTATTACCTCGCCTGATCAGACTGGGTTTGTTAAAAAACCACCAGGCTTTTTTCCATGTTGGGCAGCTGCTTGATGGCTGTACACTCCTATCCCACCTGAGCACACCTGTGAGGAAGTCATTTTTTCATTAGATGCAGAAAATGCGTTGGACTGGGTGGAGTGGTATTACCTCTTCGAGACTTTAAAGTTATTTAAATTTGGTCCCAAATTTATATTGTGGGCGAGGCTGATGTACCTCCCCAATGTGGGCGGTCCGCACCAACTGTAACATATCTTCCGATTTTAAACTGCAGCAGGGTACACAACAGGGGTGCCCACTCTCACCACTTCTATTTGCATTGGCAATAGAACCATGGACTTTAAGGCAGAACTCCATCATTAAAGGGATAAATTGACTAGGCACAGAACACAGTTTCTTTATATGCAGACGACATGATTTTATATACATCAGGCCCCATACCAGTGTCCCTGCATTACTTAAATTGCTTCAGAAATTCAAAAGACCAGCTGGTTATAAGGTTTACCTTCAAAAGAGTGAGCTGATGCCCATGGCCTCTATAGAAAAGAAAATCTTGGACACTCTTCCCTTTAAAATTAGTTTAAAAAAAAATTAAATATCTTGGTGATCTGGGTAACTTAAGATCATAAGAACCTCCATAAAACCAATGGCAAACCTTAAACAGGATATTTCTAGATGGCAGTCCCTGCCTCATACTCTAGAGGGGCAGAATAAACTCTGTAAAAATTAATAGCCTGCCTAAATTCCAATACTTACAGTATTTCAGAATCTGCCAATTTTTCCCACTAAATCCTTCTTTACTAATCTGAACAGCCAGATGTTGAGGGGGTTCTATGTTGTTTTTTGTTTATGTATGTTTAAAATGAAAATAAATCAATTCAATTCAATTTCAATTCAGTTTTTCTACAGCGCCAAATCACATCAAAGTTGTCTCAGGGACTTTACAGGAACATTCACATAAAAGCCAATTCATATCATATTCAATCCATAAATCCTTCATAATATAGAAAATCCATCATAAATACATAAATCCATCATAAATACATAAAATCCATCATAAATACATAAACCCATCATAAATACATAAAATCCACCATAAATACATAAATCTTTCATAATATAGAAAATCCATCATAAATACATAAATCCATCATAAATACATAAAATCAACCATAAATACATAAATCCTTCATAAATATAGAAAATCCACCATAAATACATAAATCCTTCATAATATAGAA